TTTTACATGCTAGTGTAAGCATTGTACCTTGGAAGGTTTGTGAGGTGGGAAATTATTAGAAATGTACTTTAGTAATATTATCCTGAAATAATATTCACAGAAAAACTGGTATCTGAGATATGAGACAGGGAGATCTTTGAGAGGTTATTATAACATCTTGACATGCTTAATAGATGCCTACATAGAGGACAGTGAGGATGAAAGGTAATAAATGTGAGACAATGTAAAGGAATTTTAAGATTTGGCAACAAGGGCCAAAAAAAGGAACAAAGACAATTCCAAGATTTTTATCTTGACTGAGATCACTCTTTCAAAAAAAAAAAGGGCAATTCAGAAAAAAGGGCTGGTTTGGAAGAGGGGAAAAACCATTGAGGTTTAAATGTGTCATGTGAAGCAATTAGCAAAACATTAAGGTAGGGGGGGAAAATGCACACACACACACACACACACACACACACACACACACCACACGTTTTGCTTACAGTCAAAATCAGCTATGGCCACAAATTCAAGATACTGTTTAAAAAGGGGTTGTACAAAACAGATTGTAATTTTAATTAAGTGATTAAAGGGCCTATTCTAACATTTAAAAAAATACAATGTGACTTCTTCCCCTTTTTACAAAAATTAGTTTCTAGTCTTCAAGGTACAAGAAATATACACCTCTAACTTAAGTTTTATAACAAGAAACTCAAAAGAACAAGTCCAGATTTTTTTATTACATTGAAATTATATCTAATAATACCTAATGCCATATTGGTTGAAGCTTGGTAAACATTTTGAAGTTGTTTTACTAGCATTAGTTTTAATGCAGTTTGCCCTAATGAGTACATTATTTTGTAAATGCCATACAAATTTTAAACAATTCCAAAGTGAAATTCTCATTTTTATCCAATATATTGTTATCCTTACCCTCCACTAACTTAAAACAAACTGACAAAAAGAACATAGTCAAATGTTAAAAGTTACACTGTAGATTATTTACTAGCTCCTTTTCTCTCTCTCCCCCATCTCTCTCTCTCTMTCTCTCTATCTGCCCTTTCTAAGGTTCTTCCTAGGAACTGTGGTCAAGCYCAAATCTAATAAAATAAGTTACAAAATGGACCCAAAAACCAATTTAAAATAAGAATTAGAATATACAACTCAATAAGATTATGCTATAATTATTTTATACTCCCTAAGTAAGCATTATCATAAGGCAGGCCAGAAGCAAGATCAATATTAGAAAGAGAGGCAAATGAAATAGCAGGGATAGAAGCCAGTTAATCTCCCCAAAAATGTCCCTGAGGACAATCCTTAATATAGACAATCAAGAGATGTCCAATTCCCCCTTCATAAACATTGTTTCTGACATATTTAGCAAATGGTCCAGGAAACTTTGATGGATTTAAGGCCTTAAACCAAGAAATGCTGAGTATCACATCTTACACTGTCTGCCCTCAACTTTCAATTAGTTTCTTTTTGCCAGCAATATCAGTAATGAGGTATTCAAATGTTTTAAATAGCCTTTTAGAAACTGATACAGCTAATTTATTTCAATATTGCTTTCTAAATGGRCATTTCCAATGTAATTGGCCATTTGAGAAAACTCAAAATTGTTTAATTTTTCCACAACAGATCCACCAAGTGTTTTCAACATGCCTGAAGCAGACTTAAAAAGAATTTTTTGGGTATTATCCCTTCCTATTATTACATTACTTTTTCTAACAACACCAGACTGCAGAAGAAAGTTTTGGAAAAACTACTTTGTCATAACCTTTTTCATGTCTGCACTATGGATATCTGCATTTACATATATCCTGGTATGGATGGTCACAATAACTGGTATGTATCTTAAGTATAACAGCACAAGAAAATAATTTCATGTAAAAACAAATTACATAGGTTCACTTCAAGTAGTCTAGGAAGCACACTTCCTTTTCAGCAAGACTAATATTAGTGCTATTTACAGAGAGATTAAATATTAATACAACAACAAGATCATTCAGGTTTTGTGAGTTCCAGCTTATGTATCAACTATATTCTTACTACTATATAGCTTGGGGTATAGTCCAAGAAATTATCTTATAAATGAAAACAAATTCACAAGATATCTATTATGCTAATAATTAAATCACATTACAAGGAATTCACAATAAAATATACTGAATTCTATTCCATAATGAAAAATAGAATAAAGAACCACTGTTTTRAGAAAATGAGTGCTATTTAACTAGATTATATTTCATTTTGCTTTTAAAAATAAAGTGACAGAAAAGAGTATAAAATTAAGTTTCATTTTAAAATGGTTTCTACTATTTCCATGATTAAGATTTAACTATTACTGCTCGGAAATAATCTGCTCTAGTTCCCAAATAAAGAACTGAATATAAACAGACAAAATATTAGAAATTTCTCTTAAAAAAAAAAAAAAAGAAAAGCTAACCTGAATTGACTGATAGAAAAGGTAAACAAACTATTGCCTGTTTGCCAAAATCACCCAGCCTATTTTTATTAGTAAAATTTTACTGAAGGCATTCAGGCCCATTCTTTACATGTCATCTATAACTGCTTTTACACTACACTGGTGGAAATGAATAATTGCAACAGAAAACATACAGCCTGATAGTTTCAATAATTACTATCTGGCTCTTCCACCCCCAAAATTTGCTGACCCTGACTTTTYCAAATTAATAGACGTCTTAAAATAGTATGTTAGGAAAAAGCAGAATATTTCTTTTTCTTTTTTTAATGAAGAAAATGAAAAAGTCCAAATATCTTACACATTAAATCTATCCAAATTTTCTCAGTCAGAACATATTTGATAATAGAAAAACAGGAAAAAAGCAAAACCAAGTAAGAGATCACAGAACAGCCCCTAAGATTATAAATAATAGTATTATTTATGTACATATGAACTCAAGCAACATTAATAACAAAAATTAACAACCAATTCCAATACCAAGAAAATGAACATGCAAGAAATAGGCTACTTTATAATTAAGTTATTTTAACTAGCATTATTGGGGGGGGGGGAATACAGAAAAAATATTCTAAACTGTGTTTTCAGTTAAGTTACATGTCCCTTTCTTTTTTTCATTTTAACTACCCTTTGGTTCTGTTACCCAGAACGAGCACATTCCTGAAAAAATGTTAAGTTGACATCAAATATAATGAAATTATTAATGAGTTGGGACTATATGTTAGACTCAAAAACAAAAAGTTTTTGTTTTCTTCTAAGATTGTTGGACTTTCCCAAAGAAAACACCAAATTAAGGTATATGTTTAAAGTAGGACTTTTAAAATACATACATGTTTACTAATTTGTAGCTCAAATTGAGAGTTGGCTTAACTCACTTCGTTAAGAAAATATTTTTTAAAAAAAGAAAATGATCAGTCTCATTAGCATATATTAAGTAAACAACAACCCCACTAACAGTGAACATCTACAACTTCTATAAAAATACCAAATGGGGAACGAACATTTCTCATTGGTAAAATTGCGGCTGCTAAATATCTTTACAAATGTCATTAAAAATCTGTACTACCTGGGTTACCCAAATTACCAACCCAATTCAAATATTTTGCTAGCTAAAAACTAAGTAAATACACATTGATTCAGAAATCTAAACATGCCTATTTTGTTTCTGAACAAAGAGGAAATATCTGAAATATCTAAGAGAGTGGTTAGTTCATCTGTAAGATTTATAACTTATAATATCTATGGTGTCTTACAGGGGAAACACTAGAAATTCCAGACACAGTAATGGGCCTTACTCTATTAGCAGCAGGAACAAGCATACCAGATACAGTTGCAAGTGTGCTGGTTGCAAGAAAAGGTAAGACCTGGAAGCTGCAGTGCCCTTTCTTTAAGCTTAGCTAAATACACTTGAGTCAAGGTAATGTGAAAAATATTTATTTCTTCAGTAACATACTTTTGAAGAAAAAAAAAATTGACTCAAGGGACAAGTTTATTATATAATAGCAAATTAATTTCATTCAATCTAATTCCCCAAATGATTTAACTGAATTGTGCATTAAATGGTAATTAACTAAATTAAAATGAAAAGCAAYGAGTAAGCTACATATCTTATTGAAAATGGTTTAATAAATAAAGATAATCATTATTAAATAAATGTTAAACTTAAATACTAACCCAAGAAAAATTTAAAAATACAAATTCAATAAGACTTGCTCTAACAATTTTCCAAAACTACCAACAACAAAAAAGTATCCAGTGTTTTTTTCTTATGAAGATTATTAATAAAACAGTATTATATGCACATTTTTAACAACATGCTTTTCTTTTGCAGGTAAAGGAGACATGGCTATGTCTAACATTGTAGGATCCAATGTGTTTGATATGCTATGCCTAGGTGTTCCCTGGCTTATTAAAACTGCTTTTATAAATGAATCAGCTCCTGTAGAAGTAAACAGCAAAGGACTCACTTACATAACCATTTCTCTTAACATTTCCATTATTTTTCTTTTTTTAGCAGTTCACTTTAATGGTTGGAAATTAGACAGAAGGTTGGGAGCTGTCTGCCTGTTATTATACATTGGGCTTGCTTCATTATCAGTTCTAAATGAACTTGGAATTATTGGAAATAATAAAATAAGGGGCTGTGGAGATTGATTATTCTTAATAGTGTTAATGTGGAAAATGTGAATGGTGGGGGTGGTAGAGAAGGAAAAACCTATTTCTTCATTAAGTCAAATAAAAACATCCTAAATTTCAGAATCTAAAACTTACTTAATAGTAAATTCTTTATCACCACAGAAAAGCAATTTAAAACCAACCAAAATCACATCCTAATTTGTCTGAGCCCTTTCTTTTCATGAACAATTACATATTATAAAACACAAGTTATGAAAAAACCATTTATCATTTACCTTACAATAAGTTGATAAAGGCTGGGGAAACTAGAACAAACACTACTATGTCATACTGAAAACAACAAGAAAATGGCTTATTTCATTAAAAACAGTATAACCATTCATTTAAACTGAATGACCAGACTTGCTGTCTTTAGGAAACCCAAACTTGAGATTAACAAAAATCACAGTATATTTTTAACATTATACTGTTAAAAGCTGGTGGGAATTTTAAAAGTTCATTTTTACAGCTTTTGTAAGCATACAGTATTACTAAAAAAATGACTTTTACTAGTAGATTCAGCAAAACAGATGAAGGAATGTTCCAACCGTGGTTTGAAATTATGCATTACGATCCAAGCGAACATCAATTTCTCTACCACTGATTTTTATGCCATTCATTATTCTGCAGGCTTTTTCAGCTGATTCTGGGGAGTCAAATCTGACCGTTCCACAACCTTTTGACTTTCCATTCTCCATTTTTATTTCTGCAAACATAACATGACCTGTAAAAGAAAAGTTACAGAATTACTAGTCAGTTTAAATGGGATCCATTTTACTATACATATTTGAAATTCCTCATAGTCAATGAAGTAATGAGTAACATGGCTTAAAACATTAATGTTATAAAAACAATAAAACATGAGATTATTTTGTATTATGAATACAATTCATAAAGAAATTATCATAATATTTTATATTATGAATACAATTCATATAGAGTAACGAACATATGTATACTAATGTACATATATATTAATATATATAAAGTTGGAATTGAGATAAATTTCCTTAGGACTTAATATGTTTTATTTGTGTTAAATTCCTAGCTTCTAGTATTAATTTTATAGTAATAAAAACTAGTTAGCTTGAAATATTAACTCACCATGACCCCAAACATATATTTAATCAAAATTATCTTTAGAATAGAGTTTCTCACTGCCCAGTATCCCTAATCATCCTTCTCTTTATCTTCACTTTGCTTCTTCATCTCATGGAAATAAGAGTGAATGCTGAAAATCTAATTTCTATCAGGCCACAAAAAGCCCCACCAAATCTGTTCTTTTATAGCAATACCAAAGCCATTTATTCACTAACACAGTTTGGACTCAAAAATCTTAAGAATGGCATCATATGTGTTATGGAAGCAGTTATGAAAGAGAACACTGATTAAAATTAACAAACGTAAAAACAATGATGTTAATAACACAAAGAAGAAAGAACCTCAGAGCAGTTTCTCAAAATATAAGAAAAATCAGACATTTCACAATTGTTCCTTACACAGTAAATATGACTGCTAATTCTAAAAAGTGACATTTGAGTACAATATTAGAGTTGTAGCTCATCATTAGAGTGCTTCCCTAGCACCCGTGGGGCACTGGGTGATSATCAGTACCATATAAAGACAAAAAAATAAAGGTGCTGTGTCCATCTACAACTGAAAATATTTTTTTAAGTGGCATTTGAAATAAATTCATATCCTTTATCCAAATACAAAGCAAACATGAAATCTGTAATTGAAACCAGAATACTAGCGAGTAAAAGGGGGAATTATTAATAATTATACATAAATAAAAAATGTAAAGTAAGACTATATTGAGGCAAACTTGGGAGTCATGATGACCCAATCCAAACGGGTCTTAAATTTAGGATGTGACTACAATAATATTTCCCTCCCCTCAAGATGTATATGTCAAAACAAATCAAACTAGGGGACTTCAAATATTATAGCTGATAGGTCAGTATGAGTTAATTTTAATTTGGCAAAAAAACACACAGCCAGACATATTTAGCTCTAAAAAGGGGCAAAAATTGAAGAAGAGTAAAGGTTTTGTTTTGTTTTTTTAAAAAAGGCCTGTCAAACACTTGCATGATCCCTTTTCAGATGAGAGAATCAATTTTTAATCTTAATACATGGTTAAGACTATTTTCTTGTTGAAATCTTGATCTGAATTATCTCCTATCTGTAGCACCCTGAATTATGTTTTTACTTTTGTTGTTGTTGTTTTTATCTACCCCATATTATTGCATTTCCTTTTAAAACCACTGGTTGTCAGTTGCTCATCTTCTTGGCACTAATTAAATGGTCTATGATGACAGATGTGTAACAAATGATAATTGTTACACCAAGCTAAAACCATAACACAGGTCAGATAATTCTTAATGTGCCCTCAAAGTTTTGATAAAACAAAACTACTATCTAGAGAAATCATGTTTTAATGGTTAAAGTAGGTCCAAATAATATTTACTGCACAACTGATAACATGAAAAAAAAATTCTTAATTAAAAAATAGTAACCACACTTTCTAGTAAACACAAAATTAAACTGGGAGATAGATAAATGTAATAGATATATGTATACATCTACATATATATACACACACACATAAATTGAAATAAACATATATCTACATATATATGAAGATCTCTTTAAGATGTAGTACTATTTCCACAGTCCTTATGACACCTTGAAAGCTGGTAACTGAAAAAAAGCAAGTCTAGTTACAGAAGCACACCTTGGTAAATGGCAGTATTTTATAGTGATTTTGAAATGGATTGTAGAGAATTTAAGGGCTTTAAGATTAAAGGTTCTTCTTTATTCTAATCTTACCTAAAAATTAAGGGTTTTTCTAAGAACTTCACACAGATTTTTAAGCAACAGTAGGGTTCAATCAAGGAAGAAATCTTAAAAACTTCAAAGGAAAATGAGTACTATTTTTTGCATAATCTGTCTCTCCATCTCCAGGACAAGATTCTTTTTAAACAATTCTCTTAAACTATGTCCCTCAAGTTTAGGAACCACACAATGACCTCATAATGATCTTCAGCCTTTCTAGATGACAAGACCCCTCAGCTAAGATATCTGAAATTTTTTAAAGTTTGGATATTAAAGCTATATAGCATGACCCACAGATACTTGTGTCACAGTTTAGAGTACCCCCCAAAAATCCCACTAGGATAGAAGCAGAAATGTTTGTTAAGTTTTCCAAATTTCTTTCTACTGTTATAAAAATGCTAATTGAGGTATTTTCCAAAGTTAATTCAAAAGAAAAAGTTAATTTCAAATAATCAATTGAAATCAGACCTAACTTTTTAAATGCTCTAAGGACTCAACAAAAATAAAACTGATACTTTTAATAAGAGTGTAGGACAAAATAGTATGCCTAGAGAAATCAATAACACGATTAAACTCATTGCTGTTATATACAGTAGTTCTAGATATTATTTATCTTACATTAAAAGAAACTTCTACTTTATTTAACCCAATCTATAAACGTCAGTATACTTTCAGAATTGCTGATAAGAGCATATCTAAATATAGATCAAATTAAAGCAGCTATAAATGAGCAAATAGTTCAACAAAATCTGAATAAATAAAGCTATAACATAACCACAGGAGAAAACAACAAAATCAGACATTCTTCTGTAAGAAAGCACAATTACGATATAAGGGACCAAAAAAAAAAAAAAAAAATGGGTGTTTCTTCACAACAAAAAAAAAAGTGCTTCCACCAATGAATTTTCTTTATTTATTATTATTTTTACTATTATTGGATTGTTATTACTATTATTTTACAAAATCCACTAATCATTCTGAAAAAAGTAAATGTTGTAGTCAATAAAACCTACCACAAGTCACCATTCTATGCAGTTAACCAGCACACTAATAGTAGAAATGTTACACAATGAAAATCTATAAAACAAAGTTATATTTGTTTACATGGTTTCTAGAAGGAAAAATTGAGAATGAGCCTTCCCTGTATTGCAAGGCTAAAATTTTAAGAGTCCTGCATCATACTGAACCAAAGAAGCATATAAACAACAAAGGAGCAAGTTTGAAAAACTACCTATTTGACCTCATTAACTGAACAAGAACTGAACAATGTGCACAAACCAAACTAATGGTCCAACTATAAATAGGTTAGTTAATTTATTGATACTCAACTTTCTTATGCATTTCCTTATAAATGCATGTTACGTAASGCAGGATAAAAAGAGATTTTACTACAAAATAATGTGTGTCTTACTGGCCTGTGCTCAAAAACATCACCTTTTAGGGGCTTACTGGAATTAGGAGGAAGAACTGGGAAATAGCCATTATACTTATTTATTTCTCCTCTTGTTAAATGTAAGATCTGAAAACTTTTCCTGAATTATAAAAGCCGAGAAAATTATATATTGAGGGTAATACAACCCATAATATAATATTTCTTCAGCCTTTATAATTGCTCCATCAAAGAGAATTAACTACTAGAGACATTTTAATAGCAGAGGGGCTTGCCAGTAGGTTCATTTATTGGAAGATATTCTTTGGGAGAGATGCATAGAATACCACTAACCTGTTTTTCAGAAGCAAGCAAAAGTATAAACTTATTCACCCAAAACTCAAGAAAACAACAACAATAAATAATCTGCCTTTTAATGTCAAAAAGGCCATTATTGGCTTGAGGCAAGTTAAAAGAAACTTCTCATACAAAAGAAGAAAAAGAGAAAGAACAAAAAAAAAAAAGGATGGTTCAATTCAAACAAGATGGGTAATATCTATATTTGTCAGTATCTGTATATTTGTTTCCACATAATYATAACTTATTTTCTTTGCTATAAATACAATTTAAGGTTAAAAATAGAGGAGATGATAGGAAATTTATAAGTATAGTATCAGCTTACTATAAAATAGAAATGTCAGAAGCTTTTACAAAAGAATTGAAAATGTAAAAATCATTAGTCTCATATACAGACTAATCAAAAAAGAGATGTAAGAATAGAGTTAAGGGCTGAGGCTATAGCTTAGTGGCAGAGTTGCTTGTCAAGCATGTGTGAGGCCCTGGGTTTGAACCTTACCACTGTATAAAAAAAATAAACAAAATAAAGGCATGCTGTCCATCTACAATTAAAACAAACAAAAWAAATAAAAATAACAGAGTTTAAAAAAATGAAATTAAAAATAATCATTTATAACCACTATTCTATATAAACAAAATACTGTACAAAATTTTTTTAATGTAGATTTGGATACTTTGTCCTTTCAGGAAATGTCTTTCAATTGCTGACCTCATGTCAAAACAATGCCACTCCATCACAAAATCTGCTTTATCTATTATTGACTTAATAAGTTTTCTGAAATAATAATTAAGGTATTACTAATACCCTTGATCTATTAATGTGGTATAATAGAATAACAAAACAATTTGCAATACTGCACAGAAAATTGGTCTCATTCTTGATAAAAGGATTATGTACAGGCTAGGGATGTGGCTCAAGTGGTAATGCGCTCGCCTGGCATGCACGGGGCCCTGGGTTCAATCCTCAGCACCACATAAAAATAAAATAAAGATATTGTGTCCACTGAAAACTGAAAAATAATATTAAAAATTTCTCTCTCCTCTCTCTTTAAAAAAAAAAAGATTATGTAGATCAATTTTTCCCATCCTTGTTTCTTCCTCTGTACTGTGCCACCTACAGTAATATGATTTTGCTTTTTCTAAATCCAAATCAGGCAACCTTAGGTTCAAGGACAGGAAGTGTCATAGGTCAAATCCATGCCAACCATTTCAATTATTTTCCAAAAGATTTACCATTATAGAAATTTATTCTGACACAAACATCATATATACATAAATATTTAATTGAATGTATTTGAGCAAAAGCAAACATCTTTAACATATATTATGACCTTTGGTCACAGGAAGAAAAAAAAAATGCCACTCCAACCAGAAGCCCACCAAGAGCCCTGAAGTTTTCTGGAAGCCTAGCCTTGCTTATACCTGACATCAAAAGAACATGTGTTACCTTATATATAATCAGAGATATGATAAATTATGGTATAATGGTGTATTAAGAATTGTAGGGCTGGGAATGTGGCTTAAGCGGTAGCGCGCTCGCCTGGCATGCGTGCGGCCCGGGTTCGATCCTCAGCACCACGTACAAACAAAGATGTTATGTCTGCCGATAACTAAAAAATAAATATTAAAATTCTCTAAAAAAAAAAGAATTGTAATGCAAAAATAAAAATAAATTTTAAAAAATTAAAATAAAAGAACATGTGTCTATAAAGGATAAAGAACAGTCACCTCAATACTGCTCACATTTTCACTGTCATTTCTTTGCCTTGCTTTGCTCTTTATCTTATTACTCATGTCTACTGTTTAAGATGTCTTATTTGGAGTTTTTTTGTTTTGTTTTGCTTTTCCTGAAAATACAAGAACAGAGATTACCTATACCTGCTGCCATTGCTCCTCATAACACTAAGGCCCTAATATGTTCATGTCACTGTGGTCTATAGGATTCATGGCCAGATGCTACTTACTCATTCTGATAGATGTACTTACTCCTAAAAACTATGAACACCTTGAAAGAACTTTACTATTTTGCTTTCTCTTGGCTGTATTTACTAGTTGATTTGTTCTTAACAACTTTTTTATGAAAATAAATATTAAGTTTCCCATCCATAAATTTTAAATTAGTCCAAAATAAAAGGACAACTAACAAAGGGAGCCAACCGAACATCCTAAACAATTCACACTGTATGTTCTGAGGACTGGGATATCTGACTTTGTTCACCTTCAAAGTGCCTAGCAGACTGCCAAAAATATAATATTTTCAGGCTTAAAGAGTGAATGAATAAATAATTAATAAATGAAAGATCTTCTCAGAATGCTTATCTTATAAAACATTTCATAAACTCTTAATATATGTACAGAGGCAATGAAAGGTGCTAGGATAAAAAGATGACAGTTCTTGCCCTTAAGATCTCCATCTACAACGGAAAAAAATGTGAACAAACAATAAAAGCTGTAAAAAAGTTAGATCAAGAATCCAGTAGATACTATTATCTCTGAAAGTAGCTCACAAAGGCTATTTTTATGGAAAAACACTAAACTTGTCCCTTTATGGCCTTAAAAAAATTAAAGATATATTCCAAATATTTAGCCCTTTTCATCATTATTTGCTACCTATATATCTTACTATTAGGACTATATATTCTGGGATTCCATGTAACATCAGGAAATCTATTTCTTTGTGCCAACTGCACTAATTCGTTCATCATAATTTACAAAAAAATGATAATTTTATCAATTAAGATTTGATAGAAAAAATAAGTATGGTATATAAAAGGCTCTCTTTTAAAAGTAATAAGCCATCTAATCTTCTACAGGCTTAAGGAATACATTAAGGTTGGATAGGTAGTGTCATTATAGCCAAGAATGATTTACAAAAGAGCCACCAGAACATATGGTGTTTACAGCATTACTAGCAGTGGATTCAATACTACCAGCTAAGTGTCTTGTGTCTTGTAGAAATAGTGTGTACAGAATGGCTCTCACTTATTAACTACATATCAACTGGATATCAGCATCTGAATGGGTCATTCTGACTCTACTCTTAAAGAAGGAAATTAATACACTGCTTATTAATATATTTCATGAGGAAAAAACTTTTAATGTAAACAATGATACATTTTCAACATTTAAAAAAATTTTTTTTTAGTTGTAGATGGATACACTCTCTTTATTTATTTATTTTTAGGTGTGCTGATGATTAAACTCAGTGCCTAACACATGAGAGGCAAGCGCTCTACCACTGAGCTAAAACCCCCAACCCCTATATTCAACTTTTTAAAATTAGGTAACTAAAAAAAAGAAGAAGAAGAGAAAAAAAAGATTTACTGACAGGATAACAGGCTATTCTCTAAACTTCAGTATTTACCAGTCTAATTTTTACTTGTTTAAGTCAGAAGATAGGAAAATAATTCATTTATTTGAAATCAAGTTAGACCTGGCACACTAGCCATACTATTCAGGAATAGATACTAGCTATCCAAACTATTCAATAGATACTAGGTCAAGTAAAGGACTTAATACAATGTTCAAAAGTTTCAAAACAATTTTTTCCTTCACAATAAATATCAACATATCTACGTCATTAGAATACTTACCACACTGACTGAATTTCTCTTTGAGTTTCTGCCAAGTCAAGTCAAAAGGCAGCTAGAATGAAAAGAGGTATTAGTAACACATATACAGGGGAAAAAAGAATTGTAAGTATCCTTTACATTTATTTGCTTACATTTCTGACAAATATCTGGTTGCCTTTGGAGCCTATTCTGTCTCTCATTCCGCTTCCCATTGGCCCCGATAAAAATCCTCGATCCATATCGATGCTCCTTTCCAGTATAGCTCCTATACCTGGTCCCATTCTATCAAAGCTGGAACTCATGCGGTCTAGTCCCATCCCCATTCCTCCAGTCACACTGTTCATGCCACCCATTCCACCACCTGGATTTTCAAGAAGGGCAGGGGGGATTTAAGAGTTTTGTGTTTTTGTTTCAGAAACAAAAGCAGGAGGAGAAAGRAAGGGAAAAGGAGAGAATCATTTATGAGTAAAAAGGGAAGAGAAAAATTCATTTACATAATTAGATAGTATACAAACAAAATTATTTTCATACAGACAATATAACAATTTTCAAAGAAATAGAATTTAACTTGGTATATATATCTGGTTAGTTGAGAAATCTTAATTCTAACTACCATATAAATACATTTACATATCTCTATAAAATTATATTCTGATCATAAAAGTATCATATTATGTAAATATTCTATTGCTTTATTAGATATTATTCTTACTCCTTATTTTTACTTTCCAATCATACTAATAACAACTTAGAACAAAGATTTAAGTAGATAAGTTCAATTATTATAATTCCAGCATATGTCTTATCATACTCTCCTACATAATTTTAACTTTTTCATCTCAGTATCTTCACCTGTTTCCCATATAATCATTCTTTTAATATCAATTCAAATTTCAATATAGAAAAACTTTCAATTTCACTATTATACAAAACGTGGTGAGAACAAGAAATGGCATTGTTTCCTTTTAACCAAAGCTTGAGAATTTAGCTCCCGGTTCATTCCTTCTTCATTTTTAAGCATTGACTTTATTCACTGAATATTCTACTCATATTCATTCTTAAAACTTATGTTTTCTTTCTTGTATCTAACACATGAAAGATGTAAAAATATCACCCTTCAAATTGACTACTTTTTTCAGTTAGTAGCAAGTATAAAAATCAGGGAAACAGAAGTAAAAGACTGAGATAAAAGAAGAAGCTAAAGATGTTACAATTAATAGAAAAAGAGCCAAAGCTACAAAAATGATGAAAAAAATAAATAAAATAAGAAAGTACAATGAATTAAATGTGTTTAGCTAACAGGTCTTTACAATTCTCTCAGAATAGGTCTAGTAAATTGTATTTTCTGCTTGTGAAATTTAATCAATTAAAGAAAGTCAATAAAGTAGGGAAGGTTCAGGCAGCAACACAGTTAAAAAACTAAGCCTTTGCTGGGTGCAGTGGTACATGCCTATAATTCCAGCACTCAGGACATTGAGGTAGGAGGATCCCAATATGGAGGCTAGCCTGGGCAACTAGGTGAAACCCCCATCTCAAACAATAAAGGTTGAGGTGTGTGTCTGTGGTAGATCAATTACCTAGCAATCACAAGGCCCTGGGGTTGGTCCCCAGCACCTAAAAAAAAAAGGAAAAAAAGTGCATGCTTTGACAGCACATAAACTAAAATTGGAACAAAACAATTAGTACGGTCCCTATGCAAAAATTAAATAAAAATTTGTGAAGCATTCCATATAAAAATAAATAAATAACAAAAAAACAACAAAAACTAAGCCATGTGCCATGTTAAGGCTTACTATAAGGCCTAAAATATGGTAAACAGATGGGAGACATTCAGCATTCTCCAGTATTGCTAGAATTCTTGATTCTATCATGGGAAAAGGTTTAAGAAAAGAAGAAATAATAACTCCTTAAACCTTATCCCTCAACCCCAGGAGGTCTCTAAAAGTATTATGTCTGCATCTACCAAAACACACAAGATGTTTATAGATAAAATAAGGTAGTCACTAATAGCTGCTACAGAAAATAAAATGCAAACAAGGTTGTCACTAAAGCAAAAGTTGCTCCTGATACACAAACAGAGAAAAACTCATATTCCTTAGGTGGAAAGATGATTCTTGGACTGGCTTATAGTTAACACATAATCTGGTGTTAATTTGGAGACATCAAAGAAGTAAAATTTAAACAGTTAATTTACAAATTTCAAACAGTGATCAGAGAGGCTTATTATTAGCTCATTAATTATTAACGTTTCTGAAATTACAAGAAGACATATAAACATAAGAACAAAGTATTACTATACTATAATCACAACTCTTACAAAGTCTTTGTAAGCACTCAAGTAAAATTTAAACCTACTTATTCCAGATCCTACTGGACCCATGTTAGAAGCTCCTATTCTTCCTGCAAACCCTCCAATCATTGCACTGCCTAAACAAGGATGGAAAGATAATATACTAATTAATTTAAATAATCATATTTTAAAATTCATAAGGTACTAAGCTCTCAGAAAACACACAATAACTGAAAAGTATAAAAAAGTATTTCAGAAATAGATTCTAAATATGTAAGATACTTAAAAGAGAGCTAGTACATTAAAATCCCTAGAGTGTTCTCTTCAGGCAATAAATTATATGGAACATTATAAACTTCTGATTTTTCACAAAAATGAAGAGAACCCCCATTTCTTAAAATATAACCTGAAAAAAGGAAAAGGAAGTATTCAGCCAGCCCTACCAAGTCTACCAAAGGAATCTCCAAAGCCTCGATTTATTCCAATATCACCACGTCCAAAATCTCGCTCCATGCTACTAGTCATCGCGCCACGGTATAGCTCTGAAAAGATTGTGCAACAAATTAACTCTTTTTCAAGTACATCAATGCATGGCAAACCATTCAGGAACATATCTAAACTAAACTGAAAAAAGCAAAAGTCATAAATACAAAATAGTCTATGATTTACCCAACTTACCTCACACACCACACATACAATCCCCATTCCTGCCATGCCTGTCCTTATCCCCTAGTGCCCATATGCCTTCTGAAGACATCTATAGCACCCATTCCTAAGTGAAGAAGGGGTGGGGGGGGGAGGATTTCAATAATAAGTAAAAGTAAAATAGTATACACATCCTTCTATATATATTTACCTACCTCCCATTCGGCCAACTCCACCAAATCCTCCCATGCTATTCATTGCTTCCAGACCACCAAACCCAATTCCTATGAAATAAAGATTAATTCTAAGATTTGACTGTCAATTATATAGCTGAAAGGTACAGTTTATAAATGTCAAGTCTCACCTATAAGCTCTTTATCCACCCTACTTTGTGTAGCTACTTCATTTAGCTACTTCATTTAATAGATTGCCTTCTCTTAAGTATACACCTGACTCAATTTCTTCTAGCATCCTTTAGGATATGAGCCAAAAATAAATTGTGACTTTTCTTCTTAGAATTCTCAACAAAGTTTCTAGTTTCTAAAAAGTGGTGATGGGAACATGCAAAAAACAAATACTTATACATACCTCCTCCAATTCTATTCATTCCTCCAAAACCTGGACCATCCATTCCCATACCTCAAATAAAATACACAGTATGTACTTTCAGTGCATCTTATTTCTATGACTAAGAGTGACAAAATGTATTATATAGCAAAACAGACATCACTAGTCTAGTCACAATGGAACACTAGGGAAGGAGCCTGATACAAAGAGATGGAAAGTGCTATGCCAGAGTAGATATCTAATCATAGGTCTCCCAAAAGGCCTCTTTGAACAATAGACAAGAAATCAAAATTCAGTGATCACACCTACAATATGCAGTTTATTCATATATGAGCAATCATTTACTTTTTCATAACACAGAAATATTACCATAGCTTTAGAGATCAGGTGAGGAAGTAAGGACTCCTCTAAAGAAGATAGTTAATAGAGTAAAAAAATTAAAGAATACAAATAGTGTGTATTTAAGAAGGTGAGGGTATGATAGTCTAAGGGTAAAGGAGAAAATGTGGATCAGAATGATTATCATACCTACCCTTATAATTTAAAGTGTAATTTTATCATGTAATCAAAAGTAGGAATTTAACAGCAATTGTACGTCCATCAAATAAAAAAGTAATACTGTAAGTATGATATGGGGACCTCCAAGGGTCCAACAGGTCAAAACCACTTCAGTCATCAAATACTGACATCATTTGATTAATTTTACTCTCATTCTCTCGTGTGCATAAGATAAGGTGTAAATATCTAGAGACTAGATGATATATATCAGCAAACAATGCAGAAGTAGATATAATAGCATGGCTGTCTTATACTAAGCTAAACATGCAAAACAAAAATACCACTTTTCTCGCTTTTTTTTTTTTTTACTGGAAATAGTTTGTTAAATATGTGCTATATTATATTTTTGTATGTATTATATATAGTAAATGTAATCTTTAAGGTTAAGTTTACAGTCAGGGTTAATTATTGCTATTTTAAACAAATATGTAAATGTTTATAATTTCTAGGTTTTATAGTAAATATTGAGAAACATAASCACCTAAACAAAATCACCTGGGGGTTTTTGACAAATTTTAAAAGCATAAAAGGGTCTGATACCAAAAAATTTGAAAACCAATCTTTAAAAACAAACATAAGTTAGCCCAAATAAAGCAATCAAAGAGCTACCTAAAAGGCCACCTTCCTAACTAAATAAATAAATTTAAACTGCCTATGACAGCATTTCAGCCCTTGCAAAAAAAAAAAAAAAAAAAAAAAGGATACCCAGATACCCAGAATACACACAGCACTATGCTGAGAACTCTCCTTCTGCCTTAAACATATTTCAATATCCACAGTGCTAAAAAGCTAGCTATAACATGACTGGTCCCAGAGACGCACTCCTGAACTTTGCCCACCCTCTTGCACGTTAACTGCTCTCAAGGTCTCATTTCTTTTTCACACTGAAATGACATACTAAATAGCTCTAGAGGAGTCCTTTAAACATTATGACAAACCAGTAAATGTAAGTTATAATATAGCAAATGTATCATTTAAAAAGAAATAAAGAATACTCACCACTTGGACCTAAATTTCCCATTACACCACCTATGTTCAATTGGCTAGCACTAATAGGCTGTCCACCTGGACCAAGTCCCATTCCAATACCTCCAAGACCACCTAAAACACAAATAAGAATATTACATGTAAGCCAGGTAGAGTAGTGCACTCCTATAGTCTCAGCAGCACAGGAGGATCAGTAGTTCAAAGCYAGCCTCAGCAAAAGCAGGGTATTAAGCAACTCAGTGAGACCCTGTCTCTAAATAAAATACAAAATAGGGCTGGGGATGTGGCTCAGTGGTTAAGTGCCCCTGAGTTCAATCCCTGGTACCCTACCCCCACCAAAAGAAAAGAATATTACATACATATGTATGTGTGTGTGTGCCTGTATAAATATACATATATACACACATATGTACACACATACACACACATACACACACAAAATTCAAAAACAGCTGTACACCTATAGTAGTATTTCTAAAATTTTGCAAATATGTAAATAAGAGCTCTGGTTCTGTTTCATTTAGAAAAGCGCATACTGAAGCCTTGACTACTATATCATTCATTCATTCATTCATTCATTTGTTTATTTTCTGTGGTGCTGGGGACTGAACCCAGGGCCTTGATTCATGTGAGGCAAGCACTCTACCAACTGAACTATATCCCCAGCCATGTATCATTTATTAATGAGAAATATTTTATGAACATAGGAATAACAAAATGCCATAAGAATTTTTTAATAATATCACTTTATAAATGGCATACTGAAAATGAGCATCTTGTCCAAATTTGTATAAGTACTTAAAATCTTAGCATTAAAAAAAGTAAAATACCATGAAAGCAAAATATTGAATAAAGCAAATATTACCTGGTTTTATCTTCAACATAAATATTTATTTACGTGTAGATGGTATTTTAAGTGTTTTCACATCTATTATCCACAGACTAGCAATTTTTTAAAATTTTAAGTTACTTATCATTTTCATTTAGCAATATGATTAARCTAAGACTAGAATTAAAGTCTTCTTTCTTTAAATCCAGGATTTTTTCTACTACATCTCTTAAAATAATTGAAAATTCACTTTATGAAGTATAATTTGATGACCTTATAAACAACAATACTAACAACATTTGAATGGGGATTGCTTTATTCCACTAAATCTTGATATGGTTTTAAAACATTCTTGCTAAGTCAAAAGTAGCAATTACTAAGTCTTGGAGTCTGAGAAAACCATATGTTCTATTTAATTTTTTTAAATTAGAGTACAGAAGCATATCATATTAAATTGTAAAGATCAAAATGGGGAAAATTATTCTTTTCCCATTCAATCCCTAAAAAATGGTCTACCTGAAATCAACAGCACATCTCACCCTCATTAATGCCTATCCACACACCACCTTTTCATCTCTAATGTCATTCTTCACTAAAAGGAACCAGGACTTCTTAAAGATAGCCCTGTCCCATTTCTTTGGAATAAGAAAAATCAGAATGAATCTGGGAAACTGTTTTATCAAAAAGTAAAGACTACCAGAGGCTGGGGTTATGGCTCAGTGGTAGCACGCTTGCCTAGCATGCATGAGGCACTGAGTTCGATTTTTAGCACCATACACAAATTTAAAAAAAAAAAAAAAAGTCCATCAACAACTAAAAAATATTAAAAAAAAAATAATAATAAGACTATCTGAGGCACGGGGAATGAGGAGGATGCCACATGTCAAGTTATAGTAATTTGAACAAAGAAAGAGTAGAAGAGAGGAAGGTAGAGACAAAACAAACCTGGAATGTACCCTCCCTCATAATAATTAGATTAATGAAAAGAAAGGGATTCTGTCAATATCTGAGTTCACATTAATAGAAAACAGTATATAAAAATTTAAGTCCCTAAAAGAATTTAATATTAAAGTATGAACACAATAGGACATTTTTTATCTAAACAAATAGAAGAATACCAAAAATGGAGAAGTGAATTGGAAGCCCTTACACAAAACAAGGATCTTAAAAGATGACACCTGACTGACTAGGTAAACTTGGGGGAAGGACTGCCCTATAAAGGGATAAAGAAAGGGTAATACTCAAAAGACACGTGGCTGAGAATTGTCCAGAATTTACTTTTTAAAAACTTGATGCTGTGATTGGGAAAGCCCAACAAATCCTAATCCAGACCCACAATGTCGTAAAACTGCCAACTGAAAACCAAGATCTTAAAAATCATCTCCATAAAGAGCATACATCACCCAAAAAGAAAAGATAATTCAACAGATAACTTAAGAGTAGCAATGGAAACCAGAAGACTGGAAAATTTTTTAAATTTTTTAAAGTGCTAAGGGAGAATAACTATCAATCTTAAACTATCTTGGAAGACATTTACAGGCAAATCAAAATTGAGAGAACTTAATAACAACTGATCCTCTCTGAAAGAACTTGTAAAATATACAATTCAAAGGGAAAAAGTTAGTACCAGGGTCTGTGAAAACAGAGCAATGATGAGACAAGAAAACAGGGGGAAAAATGTCTAATTTGTTGGATTAAGGGGGAAAAAAAGAAATATAATGAAAATACTGAGCAACAATAGCATATAATTCAATAGCAAAGTGATTACAAGTAAAGTATAAAGTATTCTAAGGTTATTCCACAACTTAGAGAATAGTTAAACTAATTTCAGCTTTATATAGACACATTAAAATATCTAGAATAACCACTTTAAAAAAATAGGAGAAAAATTACTTATTTGTAAAACAGAACACAAAATAAGATAATGAAAATTAATCCAAATGAACCAATAAATGTGAATAATTTAAACCATTCAATTTCATAGAACAGACTTTCAAACTAATATTTTTAAAAATCAAATCCTAAATATAATACTGCTTATAAAGGGTATATCTAACACAGTAAATAATAAAAGAGCAAGAAAAAGATAACAAATACGAAACAAAACTGTTGTACTTACCTTAGAGGACTTAAAGGTAATTACTAAAGATAAAAATTGCTATAATGATAAATTAATTCACTAAGAAAATATTATCAGTTCTAATCTTGAAAGGACCTACTAAATTAGCTTCAAAACATTAAAAAAAAAAAAAAAGACAACTGTCATCCTAATGAGAGAATTTTATGACAAACATCTTTCAGTAATTGCTAGCACAACCAGATAATATTACCMGTAAGGACTTGAGACAATTAAATTAACAAACTTGACTTAATGGACACAGAACACTGTACTCACCAATCACACCTGGAATATTTATAAAAAGGTGCCACATGATAGGCCATTCATAATATAAGTCCAAATTAATTTCAAAGAATCACAATCATATAGACCATGCTCTCTCACCACACTGAGGTTATAAATTAATAAGATTTTTTAAAAAAAGAACTCATGCATTTGGAAATTCAAAAATCTTATTTTCAAATGACTCAAGAAGCCACAGTGCTGCACTACTGGACATGGTGACAAACGACTGTAATCTCAGCAGCTGGAGGCTGAGACAGGAGAATCGTGAGTTCAAAGCTAGCCTCAGCAAACCAAGGTGCTAAGCAATTCAGTGACACCCTGTCTCTAAATAATACAAAATAGGGCTGAGGAGGTGGCTCAGTGGTTGAGTGCCCCTGAGTTCGATCTTTGGCACCCCTTTCCCACAAAAGTCATAGTGCTAATTTTTAAATACTTTAAAAATTGAACTATTATAAAAACAGTCCACGCAGAACTGGTACAATAACTAAATTTATAATTCTAACTATTTATATTAGAAAAGAGAGGCTAAAAATTACTGAATCAAGCCTTCAACTTAATTAGTTAGGATAAAAGAATAAACCCCTAAAAATTATAAGAAAGGAAACAATAAAGCTGAGAAATTAAACATACTAAAAACTTTGCTTTTTAAAAATACTAACTAAAAATGACAAACTTCTAGTAAAACTGACACAGAAAAAGAGAAATTATAAATCTTCAGAATTCAAAAGGACCCAGAACTATGGATATAGCAAAACTTTTAAGAGACAATTTTAGATCAGTAAACTTTAAAATGGAAAAAAATCCCAAGAAAAATAGAAATTACCAAAACTGACTTAAGAAGAAACAGAAAATATGATCTGTAGTTAAAAAATCTTCCCCCAAACATATATGAAGGCCAGAAAGTTTTACTCATAATTTCTAGCAAATACTAAGAACAGGTAAATCTACCAGGAAAAAAAAGCAAGCACTCCCCAACTCTCTTATTTCTAATCATTAAAAATTAGAATAATCTAAAAAGCAGAAAAATGTATAAAATGCAGTATTAGCAATTAAAGTGAAGACTCTAGAGCTATATCTATTAATAAAAAAAATCTCAAAAACAATTCCAAACAAAAAAAAAAACAGGTTTAATAATATATACAGCTGATAAAACTAACAAAAAGAAACAATATTTTATCTTAGTTTTCCGTATCAATAGCACCAAAAATCACACTAAATTTTAAATCCAACAAAACAATTCTAGAAATTATGAATGTACAAATGTGTAGACAAATTATTAAAATCTAAATGATAATCATGGCATTCCTAAGTTATTTCCTTTGGGCAAGATATATGTTGGAAGGAAATTAGGGAGGAGGGAGATTCTAAGCTTTAAAAAAATTTTATTTAGTTTAAAAAAAAAAAAAAAAATCAAGGGCTATGGGTGTTATTCAGTGGTAGAGCACTTGCTTAGTATGTGTGATGCCCTGGATACAATCCCCAATACCACACACACACACAAAGCATCTAACAGTCACAAGAATAATTTTATTGTAAATATTTTATATTAAAAATAACCATAGAAGGTGTAGTGAAAAATAAGAACAATAGTTAGTATTTATTGAGCACTTACCTTGTATCAAAACTATTCTAAGTGCTTTACACATATTAACTCACATGCTACCTATGCTACCCCCTGAAGAAAGTACTACAGCATTAATATCCCCATTGTTCAAGTAGGGCATTAAGACACAAGATGTTAAGTACATTACACTATTGTTTTATAATCCTTTGGAAAACAACTGGATAACAGTAATCGATGGGCATGTCTTGAACTAAACACCTATCTACTTAAAAGATACCTATCTTAAGGAAGTAACCAAAAGCATATCAAAGATCTGTATACAAAAAGGCACATGCTACTCTGTTAGTTATTAAGAGAAATAAAAGCCAAAGCAGACAAAATATATAACAGTAAAGCAGTTATAGAGAATCTATATAACAGATTAACAGTTAATAAAAACATTTGGGAAGAATTTTCATGAAAAAATGCTTATACCTTATTGTTAAACAACAAAAAAAATTATACAGTACTTCGACTATATAAAAAAATATACACAAGAAGGAAAGAGTGGAACAAAACATTTTATAAAGGTAATATTTTTGTGGCTGAGTGGTAACATGGTAATATTACAGAAGAGTTTTTTTCCTTCACATGTATAAACTTAACAAATATTTTAATATGCACTGCTTATATATTCTGTCCTCCTAATCAATTTCACCAAACTAATCTCTAAAACTCTAAACTAATCCCAAGGGAACAATATGGATGTAGGCCCCAAAACCAAGTTTTGCTTAGTACATAATAAAACTGAAAAACAATGGAGTATGTTGTTTCTAAATAATTCCTTTTACTTACGTGGTAATTGTGGTGTTTTACTATCATGTGAACGGTAGTCTTCATGAGGGACAGACTTGTCATCCTAATTGCAAAAAAGTTTATTATATGATTAATATATTGCAAAATAAGGACTGTAATGTTGAGGATAGCAGATAAAAGATTTTAAAATGTTGAAGGTTTAAAGTGATATATAAGAACTCACCATTTTCACATGCATAGGTCTATCAAATAAAAACTGCCCATTGAACATAGCTGTTGGTTCAGTCAAGGAAAGACAGATGACTGTAAAATTATTCTTGAACACAAACTAATTATATTATTAAAGGAGTCTCCAACTAGCTCTAACGTTTTAATGTCTTTAATATTTATTCATACTAGTCTCTTCCACACAAAGAAAACTCTAATTCTTTTATTTTTATAAATAATATATTCTTTTAATTGAAAAAGAAAATTAATAAGGCTTCATCTAAATCAACTGCATTAATGTACAATGTAGTACATAACTGTCAAAAGCATGTGTATATACATACAATTAGTTGGTAGGAAGGGAAAGCAGAAAAGTTCACACCAGTCCTGTACAATATGGCTAATTCAAGTTTTAAGAGTGACTTTAGTAGTTGGACATAGTAAATATTTTATGAGCTGGAGACCAAAGTCTAACAAATTTCTAAGCTAAACAACCTTAAATTCCATAACCCCCACAAAACAGTATCAAGCTTCTCCAACTTCATTAAACAATGCTAAGTGTAAATCAGGATACAAATTGCTTGAACTGCTTCAATTGCTTGCTCAAAAGTGACAGTGCCCATTCCTCTGCTCTTTCCATCTTTGTCTTCTTTAATATCTGCCCGCTTTACAGTTCCAGCTATGCTGAACACTTCCTTTAGCTTCTTCCAACCAACTTTGAAGTCAAGCTTAACATAAAATTGTATAAAGTTACACACCTAATAAATCTCTTTCCCCATTTATATATACAAAATAATCTTTTCTAAACTCTCCAAACTATAAATAACTATAATTCACATTCAATTGTAGACCAATAATGTTCAAATAAAACACAAGTTGCTTAAAAATCAGTTCAGTCACATCTACATTATTCCATATTCTTATTATTTTAATTCCCAAAATTGTCTCTCAATTGCTCAATCCTGCTTTCTACATATGAAACTTGCACATCTACTTTTACCAAGAGAAATTCAGATTTGGGAATTATTGTCCATGTCACTGACTTTCAAGAGCTTAGAACAAACAAAAAACCAACTGTGACATGCACATTCACAAATATCAAGGCCAAAAGAATGAAATCCATTTACCAATATGAATAAAAAGGCATATAATTAAAGTACATAATTTCAAGAAATGCTCAAATGATTATAAATTCCACAGTTCTCTGTGTAAAAAATTCTAAATTGTATTTAGACTAATCACACACATGTAGACTTAAATTGGATTTGAGCTTAAAATAATTAACTTCATTTACTTTAGTTAAAAATAAGCAAAATGTTCTATAAACCACTCATCTAATTAAACAATTTCATAAATGGAACTATGCATCTGAACAATAAAATTTTAGACTAAAACTTACATTAGCAACAAAAATTGTAGAACCAAGTCTACCAGCCTGCAAATTACTGATAACCTCAGGAGGAATGTTTGGATTATTGAGAATGGAAGGTGGTAAATTCATCAACCCCGATCCCATATCAGGGACATGTCCTCCTGGAAATGATCCTCCTGTTCGTTGCAATGCCCTACGAGCATTTTCTCCGTCAGGATCCTATAACACACATTGAATGTTAAATGCCACTAAATATATCAGTAAATCTACAGAATTAAAATAACAACTTCAAATTTGACATTAGCTAACCCTCAATTATTGACCCTCTTGAGAAGTGAGATTTTTGTTTTGTTTTCTCATCCAGAGAACTGAGTCCCATAAAAACCTGTGGACAGACAAAAGATTTCAGTCTCYAGGAATGGCAATTAAATACCTCTTTCCAAGCACTAAAGTCACTTAAGAACTTGAAATTAGTTTAATTTTGTCCTCATTCTAGTGTATGACATATACACATCATACACATAAATGCACATAACTCAAAGAGAAGCAAAATACTTACTATGATTCTTTTCTTTCCAAACTGCAATCATGGTGAAGTCTCACCACTGGATGACCAATGGAATGTCAAATTGACAATCCAAAACTTTCAGTAGTGGAATAGACTTACAAAACAAGACTTTCAGTAGTGTAACAGAACAAAACTCAGGGTGGGAGGGTATTATAACTGACAAATTTCATTACTGAACAAAATACAAGTATCCACCTTCTAACCTTATCTTCCTCAACWATGATTATGATCTGAGACAGGAGCAAGGGAGAGGTAAAAGAAGGCTAGTGACCAGTGAAGAATGATAGAAAACTTATTTCTTTAAATTCATTAATTTTATAAGAGTAATATCCCATTGTAAAACAAAAGAAGAAGTTTAAAAATACTTCTCAGGGCTGGGGATTTGGCTCAAGCGGYAGCACGCTTGCCTGACATGCATGCGGCCCAGGTTCGATCCTCAGCACCACATACAAAGAAAGATGTTGTGTCCACTGATAACTAAAAAATAAACATTAAAAAGTTCTCTCTCTCTCTCTCTCTCTCTCTCTCTCTCCCCCCGCTCTCAAAAAAGAAAAAATGTAAGACAATATTTAAAAAAAAAAAAATACTTCTCACTCAGAGAAGTAGGATGCAAACAATACATACCCCAAACAAAAACAAAAAAAAAACACATGAACACACTGATAGATAACCATCTGCAACGACAAATAATTATGTTAAACGACCATCAATTCTACTCTGCTGGCCTCACTCTGAAAATATTAATAAAAACAAAGTTGGATGACTTTAACAAATTCCCTAAGATGGCCAGAAAGTAAATGCAAGAATAAAATTTTTCTGACTTACAATAAACTTCTTCACTACTAAAAAATAAAAAAAGATTACAAAAGTAAAGATATGTTATCAAACAATGCTAATAAAACTTAAGTTAGAAAATGTTTCAGGTTTGAAGATGCAAAAATATACACAAAAACAAAACTTAAAATAGTGGTTATTTATATGGGATAAAAAAACAGGAAGGAAGATGCTTCTTGAACTATTACAGTTAGGTTGCTTGGGCTTAACATTAATAAAATATATGGCTATATTTTGTCTTTTATATACAGGTGTATATATAAAACAAATCACCTACTATTTATAACTTGGTTTTTATTCCTCTTTTCCTCTTGTTGTCCTCCTGCCGATCACTAATTGCTATTGTCTACCTAATAGAGGGTCTATAAATACATTTACAACTGCAACTAATCTCTATTTAATTAAATGGAAAAAAGTAATTTTTAGATTTTTTTAAGGAGCATGGATATATATTTTTCTTGGACTTCCATTCCAGTAGTAATTCTAATCACTTACCCCAACCACCCATGGTAAATTAGATATTCCCAGAAAAGGGATTGCCTTTAGTGATTTTAATCCAAAAAAATTTAATTAAATAAATCCCCATCACTTAGTGAGGCCAAATTTGACCATTTTTTCCTCTGAAAAATAGTTAAAAATAAAGGCATTCTACATCAACTTGGACCATATAATTCTATTTTGGGATCTGAAATATAGAGGATCTACAATATGCTAAAATTTATAAGAACACAATAATATGGTCTCACTTTAGCATTCAAACTACTTTCTTTTTTTTTTTTTTTTTTTTTCCAATTAAAAGCAGAAGACACTGAGATTCCAGTATTTGTCTCCGGAAGAGATAGTGAAAAATCAAACACCAAATTGAGGAAAATTATTTAGGATGCTAACAATTCTGAAGCACTGAGACTGACTTATGCAAAAGAGCCACCAAATAAATGGCTGGCACAAACGACAAAATCTAAACCTTCTCTATCAATTGTCCACATCCCTGTCAAAAAAAAAAATTTTTTTTTAAATAATAACCATTAGGCTTAAACAGTTTCAGAATATTGAAGCTAATTCCAATAAAGGGACATGAGATACACATATAGTTGATAGCATGGCCTTTAATTTCAATCTATGATCATACTCAAGAACAGGAAACCAAAAACAGAAAACAAAAAAAAAAGAGAACAATGAATCCTGGACGGGACTAATAACAATCATTATTTTTACAGCTAATATTTATGAGATAGTTAAGTATTCTGAACACTGCATTAAGGGCTTTATATAATAGTATCACAAGTATAAGAAATAGCTAATATTAATTAAATAATTTACATATATTAATTGTTGGAGCTAATTATTCTCAAGGTCACTTACATCTAACTAAGTAGTTTTTTAATGTATCTTTTGCTTACTCTTTCCTCAACTTACTTATATTGCTAAATTCTATACAAAAGAACACTTCCACTTTAGGGTTCTAGTTCAGGTTTCAATAATAGAATTATAACTCCTCTTGAATTTTAATCTCTAAATAAATTTATTAAAATGAATACCATGCTGGAACCATGGCCCACCTGTAATCCCAGTGGCTTAGGARGCTGAGGCAGAAGGATTTTGAGTTCAAAGCCAACCTCAGCAACTTAATGAGACCCTGACTCTAAATAAAATACAAAACAGGGCTTGGGATATGGCTCAGTGGTCGTTAACCCCTAAGCTCAATCCCTGTTACCAAAAAAAAAAAAAAAAAAAGAACAGCACAACAAGGTTGACCAAATTATGCTGTGCACATGTGTGAATGTAACACAATGAATTTCACCTTTACATATATCTATAAAGTACTAATTTATAAAAACAATAAATAGATGTGGGGAAGGCTATGTGATTATGTCAAATGACTCTCACTATTATGTATATCTATAATGCACTAATAAAAACATTTTAAAAAGTGAATAACAATTTTATTCAAATCCATAATGTATGCATTATTAAGCAAGATTTCACTGTCAACTACAAAAATATCTATTCTATTTCTCAAACAACAGAATCTAAAAACTGAAAATATCTAAATCAATTAAAGTCAGCACCTAAAGTCTGTCATGCTTAAATTTGTGAGTCCTTAATTCTTCTAAAATTATGCACCTCTGTAACAACTTGGAATAAATCAAATACAGGTACCTACTTAAGGGCAAAAAGAAGTCATATACAAGTAAGACTACTATTAACAAATAATGCTTTAATAAGCATCTATGCGTACATTACAAATACATTATCAAAAATGAAAATTCAAAGAAAGCATGATCCTATAGTCAAATGTTTAAATTTCAAATATAAGGAATCTTACCTCTTTAATATTAAGGGGTCTTCCACTAAGATCATATTTGTTCATAGTTTCTAGTGCTTTCTTTACAAATTCTTCATCTTTGAATTCAACAACACTTAATGGGGAAAAAAATTATAAGAAATGTTTATATACTAAGATTTGCTTCCAATAAGAAGTTTAATTTGACTTAAGATACTTTWAAAAAAAAAAAAAWTCTTACCCACAACCCTATATCCAGGTAGATTTGTCAATATATGCAAAAGAAAAAAAGTTTTCAATCAGTAGATGAAGTTAATAGCAGATTCTAACATTTAAGTTACCAAAAATAATCAATAATACAATCACTTTTCATCTTTTTAACCACCAGGCAAGTGATCATAAATTTTCTGTAAATTTTTAAGTCTAACTATTGAAATAACAGAATACATGTAAAAACTTGGAGTACATTTTTACTTTCAGAGGACTTTTCTTAAAAGTTAAAACTAGTATCCCTGTACAAATTAATCAACAGTAATTCAAGGAACTCCAGTTTTCCATGTATATGACCTGACATAGTCACAAATATTTTCAATAGAAACACTGGGCATAATATATTTTTCAAATCTAATCACATCAAAATCGCAAATAAATAATAATTTTAGTAAAGTTCTCTATTAGATTAAAACTGGCTGTACACAATAGTAACCAGTTATAAATGTTTTTTTAAAAATCACATATGCTGAAGAGAACCATTTTTTTAAAAACAATTCCTTGTCATTACTGTTCAAAATTCCATTTGATTGTAATGACAAAGTTTTTATTTCTCATGTATTCAAACTGGTTTATGCTAATATAGTTAAACACTGTTAAGGGCTTTTCACTGTATTCTTCTATACATTGCACTCTTGTTGCTAAAAATCAAAATCTACTATCAACCAAATCCTTCTCTATCAATTTAATCATCAACAGCATTCATACTGATTGGCAGAACACTGCCTCTTATATAGTCCTGCAGGCTACCAAGTTAAGCTTTTCAATAAGTTTCAAAAATACATTCTGAATTAACACCTTTTAGCTATAGGTCTCTCATAAATCTCTTAGGGAATATTATCAATTCAGTGAGTTTTAAAAGATCCTTGAAGACATCAAAATACAACAAAAAAAAATCCTATATTAAAATCTTATTGACTAGGAAGAAGCATTACCTTAAGAGCATTAGAAAAGTGAATGCCCTTTATGAGCATTTACAAAACCCATCCCTTCCAGGCAGCTAGTTTGGTTGGTACAGGTGTCAAACTTGCTAGTATAAAGCCTCAAATCTTGCATAATAAAGTAAAACAAAATGAAACTTAAGTTTCCAAAAACTGGTACAAGTATTATACAAAAAGTAAACTGCTGAGGAACTTTTACACCTCAAGCAGATATTGCCCACAGCACTTACCCTTGATTTTCCTTCCGCATCCTTAAAGAGCTCCACGTATGTAACCTCACCAACTACATAAGACATACAAAAGGAAGATACCAAGAAACAATACATTTAAACACCAATATCTTGCTTTACTGCACACCTGTGCACAACTCTACAGAAAAGCACCTATTATTCACCAACAATCAAAACCAGACCAACATACCTCCTCAAATGGCTATGTAAATTTGACTGATTTTCAGAAATGTACATCATCCACATTCTCTAAAAAAAGCTAACAACCATATTAACCTAATTCATACTACAGATCATATTTTGGCCAGCATGATATAGTTGGTGAACAAATGCACATATACATACAAATGGCCCCTTAGCCTATCATATTAAAAAAAACATCAACATTGGCACTTTTCAAATAACTTTGATCAGCCTACACACAACAGCTGTTTTAAGGTGACTTTCTACCTGAATGTCTTCAATCATGTTTGCCATCAGTAAACTAAATTTACAAGTCATGCTTCACAGCAAGCCACACACTTTCTAAATAAAGTCAATGAATAAAACCAATCAAATAGTTGTCACCTTACAACAGATAATACACCAATGCAATTTTTTTTAATTTATTAGAAGAGATCAGCCTCAAAGCCAAGTACATAATTTGCAGGACTGTTGAAACTCAATTTTTCAAGAGATAACAGAACTATCTTTTACAAGATCAAGTATTAAAGTTATTTTTCCCCAAAACCAACCATGTATATAAGATGAAGGTTTTCAGATTATTCTGAAAACAAAACTGCAACAGCAGTAACGCAATTTTAATATAGAACTGCAAAGACAGCATCATGGCAGTCGTGACAATGCAAACAAAATGAATTCCACAGCCAGATTCCAGACTCCATCAAGATAATAACAAAACAGCTTTTGGAAAAAAAATAATCAGACCTTATTATTCATACATTAACACTCTAAATGTATTACTTAACTAATGCAATAATCCTTTAAAAATCTATAAAAACTTCAACTAGACAAAGCAATCGCTTTAACAAAATTCTTGATGGCATGCAAATGCTGGCTCACTACTATCCCACTAAAATATCAAAAAAAAAAAAATACTTTTATCCATACTAGCGTGTAATGAAATTGTGTCAAGTGAAAGAAGAGGAAAAGATTAATTCATACATCAAGAAATAAAAATCAATTTTTTTGAGTCTGTGTGGCTAAGAGGAATAAAAAAGTTTTGCATAGTTTCTTCCCCTTCCTACATGAAGATCATCCAGCAGTGGGTTATTTCAGAGATAATTACCTTTTTCTCTCATTAGATCTTTAATAGCTTGCCATTTCATGTCATACGGGATGTTGCTAATGAAAACTCTGTTACGATTTGGACCCTTCTTTTCTCCAGTGCCCAAATTCTTGTCTTTTGAATAAGGATGAAATCTATTGGCCTTCTTATTTCCTGAAGATTTTTCTTTTAAGTCAGATTTTTCTTCTTTCACTGATTCATCATTCTCCCTAAGAATTTTAAAAACAAAACAAAAAACACCCTCATTTGTGCTTCTAAGAATGGAAGTCTATATTAAATAATTCATATTTATCATTTCATAAAACTTTCCACTAAGCTAGACCTTAGCAAAGCAACTAGAAAGTGAGCCTGACAGCTTTGATATTACCCAAGACTTTTCAAAGCAAGGGTTTGGCACACAGTAAATAGCTACAATCATTCAAATCACTCAATTTTCCTCTCCATGTACTTATACTTAATAAAGTGTTACTGGACACTGTGGGGGGTATGATTCTACAGTATATAAAACTGCCACTTTTAATAAAAAATTAACTTTCTGGTTTCGTTAAAAACTCTAAAATTGATACTGGAAAAGTTTACCTCTTAAAGGTTAACAATTTTTTCCCATTTCACCTTCCTCTAAATGTATAGCTATGCTATATATCTACACATATACATATTATACATTCACTTGAGATTCAAAATTTTTCTATTCCCAACTCTGATAAGCAGAAAATTTATAAAGTATCCTAATATCTTCAAGTTAAAAATTTTTCTGGGTTTTAAACAATAAAATAGAATAGGCACTTCATAGAATTATTTTTTTTATTAGTAAGATTACCTACGATGAGGGCATAGGGTAGAGGAAAGAGGCAGTCACTGAACGCAAAATGAGCGAGACTGATAAATCTTTTTCATGAGGCCTACCTGGAAAAGCATTTCATTTATGAGATTATAATCACAATGCAACTATTATGATGCTACATATCAAACTTAAGATATAGGTATATACTTAAGACAAACCCTATAGATATAAATCTGGATTTATATTTTAAAATGAAATTTACTTTTCAAAAGGATCTTTTTTACAGAAGTAAAATAAATTTCTTTTAAGGCATTACTCTGATGAATTTAAAATAATTTAATTAACAAAACATCAATTTTAAAGCACTTTTTATAAACATACTAATAAAAATTTCCAGGAACCACGTATGATGGCGCACACCTGTAATCCCAGCAACTCAGGAGACTGAGAAAGAAGGTTGGCAAGTTTGAGGCCATCCTCACCAATTAGTGAGACCCTGTCTCAAAATGGGGGGGTAAAAAAAGAGCCAGGAGTGTACCTAAGTGGTAAAGCACCTCTGGGTTCAATCCCCCAGTACTGGAAAAAAAATCCACCACAAATGGTCTACCAGAAAAGTTGCTAAAATCAAAAAAGACACATTAGTACCAAACATATTTTGACACCTTTTCAGACCTTGATAGGGATATCTTCACTGTCAAACATATTCCCTCATCAGAAATAGCATGACCTACATATCTTTTCTCTCATATGTAGAAGATAGAGAAGAATAATAAGAAAAAGAAAGGTGGGGGGGGGATAACTGGGAAATAATATTGGCTGAATTATAATTGTATGTGTGTACAAATTTATAACAATAAATCCCACCATTATGTACAACTATAATTCGCCAGTAAAAATGGGGCGGGGGGGGGGGGGGAGAGCAAGCAAAGGCAATACTTAGAAGGTCTTCTTAACTGTTCAACTCCAGAAAAGTACCTCCCTGTCAGAACACAGTGGCATTCTGAAAATGGTAGTGAGAGGTTACAAGTCTTTTCTCTGGTTCCTGGGTACAGAAGAAACAACAACCCCTTCATTTTAATCCCCCAAAGGACCAATTACACAACAGGCTTAGGCTAAATTCAATGTATGTTTTTAAAATAATTAAATTTCTGTTCAGGAGAGCAGCTATCCATAAAATCTCTAGATAAATATCCCTCCCCTATTTTCTTCCTGAAGGAAATCAATTATGAAAATGCATGAAGTTCTGATATATAATGTTCTGTTCTAGGTGGAGGTTAATAAATGTGGTAAACATTTGTTTACAATAATYTAACAATTCCATTTTAAAAGTAGTAATATTATATCTCTTCTTTAAAATATTTACTTAAAGGATGGCCAAAGAGAGCAATTTCGGTAATTTTCCCCCAATTTGTAGCATCTTTAAAATACCACTAAGCTGTTCATCTGCAACACATAAATTATCTATGGAAGGCATACCAGTTTAGGAGCTAGAAGGACGATTTGATTAAGAAACTAAGCCATAATTATACCAGTCCTGAATTTTATGCCATAAATACACTATAGAAAGACAGTTTAAAAAAAAAAAAAGTGAAATGATGCTACCAGAATATTTCCAGAATTCCATGTTCTAATTCTCAAGCTATTCACTTTTGCAAGCCCCTCCTTCTTAATATAATTAAAATACTCCAGAATAAACAAAAATTTATCTGCTCTTAAGACTAAATTATTCCTTCCCAAATAATAACAAATTTCTGAAAAAAATTAATATCTAACACTGAATGAAGAAACATAGTATTAATATGTGATTTTAAAAGCATAATGCTATAATGAGATCCAGAATTAATCCCAGTTCTAGGACAAACATCAGAGGGAAATTCATAGTGATAAAAGCCTATATACAGAAAAAAAGAAAGATCTCAAAACAATCTAACTTCACACCTTAAGGAATTAAAAATTAACTAACCACAGAGTTAATAAAAGGAAGGAAATAACAAACATCAAAGCATAAATAAATATACTAGAAAAATAGAAGATCAACAAAACTAAAAGTTATTTTTTAAAAAAAGATTGACAAATATTAAGTCAGACACTAACGAAAAAAGAGAAGAATCAACATCAAACAGAAGAGAAATTACAACTGACCACATAGAACTACAAAGGACAATACAAACCTATTATGACCAATTATACACGAGGAAATCTAGAATGAATAAATTCCTAGAAACAGACAACTTACCAAAAACAAATCTTGAAGAAACAGACATCCCAATCCACCAATAAAAAGAAGGAAGACTGGGAGACTGAATCAGTACTCAAAATCTCCCATTGGTGAAAAGTCTAGGACATGAGAGCTTCATGGGAAAATTCTACCAAACACTAAAAAAAACTATTTCAAAAAACCAGAATGAGGGGCTAGGGATGTGGCTCAAGCGGTAGCGCGCTCATCTGGCATGCATGCGGCCTGGGTTCGATTCTCAGCACCACATACAAACAAAGATGTTGTGTCYGCCGATAACTAAAAAATAAATATTAAAAAAAAAAAAACAGAATGAGAGAACTCTTTCAAATCATTTTATAAGGCCAACATTACTCTGTACCAAAGTCAGACAAAGAGAATTATAGGCCAATATCCCTGATGAACACAGGTACAAAAATCCTGAACAAAATGCTAGCAAACTGAATTCAACAGCACATTAGAAGGATGTAAGGCTARATAAACATATGCAAATCAGTAAGCATGGTATAACACATTAACAAAGTGAAGGTAAAAAAAAAAAAATGATCACCTCAATAGAACTGGGAAAAGAACTTTACAAATTTCAAACTTTCCTCTAAAACCAGGAATAAGAAAAAGATGCCTGCTCTCACCACTACTATTCAACTTTTTATTATTAAAAGTCCTGGCCAGAGCAATTAGGCAAGAAAAACAAAAGGCATCCAAATTGGAAAGTAAAAAACAAAATTATCTCTGTTTGCTAATAATGTGATCTTATATACAGAAAACCATTAAAGAGTCCACCAAAAAGAAAGAAAAAAGGGCTGGGCATAGTGGGGCACACCCGTAATCCCAGTGATCAGGTGGCTGAGACAGGAAGATTCCAAATTCAAAGCCAGCCTCAGCAACAGCGAGGTGCTAAGCAACTCAGTGAAACCCTGTCTCTACATAAAATACAAAATAGGGCTGGGAATGTGGCTCAGTGGTTGTGTGTCCCTGAGTTCAATCCCCGGTGGCCCTTGAAAAAAGAAAAGAAAAAAGATGCTAAAAGTAGAAGAGAAACTATTAGGCAATGGGAAAGGGACCAGTTAGGGAGTCAGGGGAAAAGGGAGGGTGGACATATGAATGTATGATGCATGCATGTATGGAAATGTCACAGTGAAACCTATTAACTTGTATAATTAATATGTATTAATAGGAGTCCACCAAAAGTAATTCAGTAAAATTATAGGATACAAGACCGACATACCAAAATGAATGTGCCTCTCTATACATCAACAATAAACTATCAAAAAATTAACAGCACATCCCATTTATAATAGCACTGAAAAACAAAAACAAAAAAACCACCTAGGAATAAATTTAACCAAGGCAATGAAAGACACTGAAAACCATAAAACAATGATGAAAGAAACTGAAGACAACACCAATAAATGGATAGATACTCTGTGTTCATGGACCAGAAGAACTGATGTTATAAATATGTCCATATTATCCAAAATGACCCATCAATTCAATGCAATCCTATTAAAATTCTAATGCTATTTTTCACAGAAATAGAAAAAAAAAATCTCAAATGTATATGGAACTACAAAAGATCCTAAGTAGCTAAAGCAATCTTGAACAACAACAAAGCTGGAGACATCACACTTCCTAATTTAAATTATATTATGAAGCCAGAGTAATCAAAACAATAAGATACTGACATAAAAACATACATACAAATCAATGGAAGATTATAGAAAGCTCAGAAACATATGCAAACATACAGTCAACTAATACTTGACACTGAGGAAAAGAGAGTCTCTTCGATAAATAGTGCTGAGAAAAGAGGATATCCACATTCAATAAAATGGAACTGAATCCTTATCTTAGAACATACAGGAAAATCATCAAACCAACTAGATTGAAAACTTAAACATAACAGCTGAAACCATGTAACTCAAGAAAATACAGAGGGGAAAAACACTCCATAACACTGGCCTTAACAATGACTTTTCTGGTTATGACACCAAAAGTCCAGGCAATAAAGGCAAAAATAAACAAGTGGACTACATCAAACAAAAAAGTTTCTGACCAGCAAAGGAAACAATCAACAAAACAAAAAGGCAATCTACTGAATGGGAGAAAGTATTCACAAACCATTTATTAAAGAGCAGTATCAAAAACATAAGGAGCTCATACAACTCAATAGCAAAAAATAAAAGTCAAAAAACCTAATTAAAAAGTGGATAAAGAACCCAAACAGATTAATCTTCCAAAGATGACATGCAAATGGCTAAAAGGTATATGAAAAGGTGCTCAACAACACTAATGATCAGGGGAATACAATTCAAAACCACAATGAGGCATCACATAACCTGTTAGGAAGACTATTATTAAGATGTCAAAAGATGATGCATGCTGGCAAGGATGGGAAGAGAGAAAGTTATACACTACTGGTGGGAATGTGTACTGGTACAATCATTATGGAAAAAACGGTATGAAAGTTTCTCAAAAAGTAAGCAATAAAACTATCAGATGACCTAACAATTACATACATGTCAGAGTATTTATCCAAAGAAAATAAAAATCACTGTCTTAGCCTAAGATGGCGCCCGCCTGTAATCCCAGAGGCTCAGGAGGCTGAAACAAGAGTTCAAAGCCAGTCTTAGCAACAGCAAGGCGCTAAGCAACTCAGTAAGACCCTGTCTCTACATAAAATACAAAATAGGGCTGGGGATGTAGCACAGTGGTTGTGTCCCCCTAAGTTCAATACCCAGTAACCCCATACACAGAAGAAAAAAAAAAAAAATCACTGTCTTAAAGAGTTATCTGCACTTGCATGTTCACTACACTATTCACAATAGCCAGATTTGGAAACAACCTAAGTGTTGTGTTTCTTTTTTTTTTTTTTTTTTTTAAGAGAGGGAGAGAAAGAGAGAATTTCAATATCTATTTTTTAGTTATCGGCGGACACAACATCCTTGTTTGTATGTGGTGCTGAGGATCGAACCCAGGCCGCACACATGCCGGGCGAGCACACTACCGCTTGAGCCATATCYCCAGCCCAAAGTGTTGTATTTCTAATGAATGAATGGCTAAAGAATATGTGTGTAAACACACACATATACACACACAAATGAATTATTCAGGCTTTAAAAAGAAAATTTTGTCATTGGCAACAATCTCGATGAATATTATGTCCTGGAGGACATTATGCTAAATGATATTAAGCCAGACACAGAAAGACAAATACTGCATGACTGTCACTTATATGTGCAATCTAAAAATCTTAACTCATAGAAATAGAGAGTAAAGGGATGGTTTCCAGACATCAGGGGATGGGTGAAAATAAGACATGTTGGTCTAAGGATACAAACTTTCAGTTATAAGATAAATAAATAAATTCTGGAGACCTAGTATAGAGTGATAATAGCTAATAATAATATATTTGCTATACACTTGAAATTTGCTGAGTAGATTATAAGTTTTCTTATCCCCTCCACACACACACACACACAATGCTAACTATATGAGGTAATGGATATGTTAATTTGTGGTAACCATTTTACAATGTATTCATAGTATATCAAAACATCATTAAATACAATTTTTATTTTTTTCAATTATATTTAAATAAAGGTAGAAAAAACTAATTCCAGTTCTAATCTTTAATCCTAATATGATAAAAATTGTTATTCTACTGGCAAACACTTCAATTTGCCCTAATGCCTAATATTTTATAAGTTCTTTAATAACTCTCAAATCTCCATATACTTCCAGGTTTTATTAATAATATATACACAATAAAGAGTTATAACAATCAATGTTAACAATATCAGTGTTTTCCTTCCATTCACTTTTAAGAAAAGAAAAGCTTGTATCATTTGGCATAAAGGAAAAGAATAAATCTAGGGAAACATAACTTCAAATTCTTCTTTAAAGATGTAAATAAACATGCCATTTAAATCCTCTCTATGAGTTCCATGATCGTAAAGGTTCATTTCTGCATTTCTTCAACAAATATTCACTGGAACTTTCCAAATGTAAGATTTTGAGGTACATAGGTATATAAGACATAGTCTCTACCCTCAATGACCATGAATTAACTGAAGCAAAAGTCATTTAAATCCTGATGACAAATAGCACTCTCCTTTCATTAAAAACATGGTAGTGGGTTGTTAACAAATCCTACTGGTTCAGAGATTGAGACCTCTGGTTATTAAGTGTGAATGATTCATGCTGGACCATCATACCTTCTTATGGAATAGACACTGCAAGAAATCCCTTAGAGTGCATTGGGGATGTGGTTCCGTAGAAGAGAACTTGTCTAACATGTTGAGGGCTCTGCTCTGAGTTCAATTCCCAACACCACAAAATAAAGAAATAGAACAAATTGGCCTGTACTTCCTGTACTTTATCTTATTTTTTTCCTCTTCCTAAATTAGAAAAAGCTTCTTTTTCCCACCTCTCCCCTCTCTTTTCCTATCCTTCAATAGACTTTAAAAAGGATTAGAGTTCTTTATCTAATGGAGATTTAGAAGTCAGCTTCACTGGAACCAACACTACACTAATCTTACCCAAGTGCAAGATTTTTTTCAATTCTATTTTTAGTGCTACTCTCTGTAATTCAAGGTTTTTTGTTCTTGTTGTTTTGTTTTGTTTTTTAAGAAGAAAAGGGTAGCACACCCATGTTAAGCTGTCATTCATCAGTATCCAAGTGGGCCTGGATCTAGGACCTGACTCTACCCCAAGAGATTAAAAAGTCCAGAGCTGCTCAAGTCTCTTATATAAAATGGCACTGTATTGTATGTAAGTTATACAAACCTCCCATATACTTTAAATCATCTCTAGATTACTTAAAATACCTAATATAATGTAAACAGTKGTATAAGATGTATACTGTTCAGGGAATAATGTCCAAAGAATAATGTCCAGAAAAGTTATATGTTCAATGCAGATAAAACATTTCTGTGGAGGAGAGTAATATTTTCAATTCACCATTGGTTAAATGTATGAAGGCAGAACCCAAAAATATTGGGTGCCAACTTGTTAAGTTTACTGTTTATTGTTTTTCAATTCTATTTTTAATGCAAGCACCTGACAGTCCACACTTAGGCAGACATGGAGAAAGAGATTCACTCACTTCTTGATATCTCAAGGTGCCTGCCTTCTTTCTTTGCAGAAACAAATTCAAGAGTTGCAATCTCTTACACCTGCCATCTCTATTCTGTCCAGAAGATACTGCCTGTTCAAACCCACTTAAGAGCCAGGCTGTAATAATGAAGCTGGAGAAACCTATCCCATCTAATCTGCAATCAATTGGCCCAGGTAGGATCATACTGTTTCAAACATTTTCATACAAAAGAAAAAAGTCAGAATTTACCTTTCCTATTTTAGCATGAGCTTATGTTTACCGCTTTCTACTCTAAGGCAGAACTGAGAGAAGGAAAAGGGCGTTTTCATTAAATTATTAACGTACTTACAACTTCAGATTTAAAGAGCTAGGCATATGAAAATAAATGCTTGACTTCATATCAGCCCACATGACAAGAGGTGAGCATAACATGCCTCTGTATCATTCTTATAAACTGAAACTGTGGTGGAGTTGAGTCAACTCAATTCTTTACAGATACTAATGATAGACTCAACCTTATAGTAGTGGGTTTTCTTCAATTTAAAAAAAAAAAAAATCTTATTTTACCACTGTTTATTTACCAAAATTAAGGCCACCAAACACTGAGTTTTTTTTTTTTTTTTAAATAGCCTGCACAACTGACAAACATCACCAGGTGGGCAGGGAAGCACATTTCCCCTTTAAAGCACCTCGAGTCAACTCCATGTTAACACAATGGAGTCAATAACTACACATTATTAAACTTCCTCTCGGTACAAAACATTTCAGAAATGAATATACACTTCTGAAAACAACGACAGTCAGTACACTTGAAAAACTCGGGATGGGGCCGGAGAGAGGAGATATTCCTTTTAAATTTGTCGTACGTGGTTAAGAGGAAATGTCCGATGATGTCATCCCTAGATACTCCCTAGTGATGAACACTAACTACTGGCCTTTAATAGGGGGACCATTTTCCTGCAAACCATGGCGGTCACCGAGCTTTGCTTAATGGTTTTCCAGGCGAAGTTAGGGCAAACAAACCCGGCAGGGGCGCGAGCCACGGCCCCCATCTCGACTCCCGGGCCGCGAACCGCGGGGCCCGGCAGGCAGCGAAGGGCCTAGGAGCGGCCCGCTGCACCTGCTCCTCGCGCCGCCGACGGCCCAGGGGCGGACCGGGGCCGAAGGGCGGGTGTTCCCCATCCAGGCCCAGTTCGGCTCCGGGCCCCCCGGTGGCCTCCCCGCCCCCCACCTCGCCCCAGCCCCCGGAGGAAAAGACAATACATTTTAACGCCATTGGAGCTACTGCTGTGCTGCGGAGGCTGCTTCTCCGGCTCCGGGGGGAGCGATTCTCGCCGCGATTCGCCCTGAGACTCTGCGGGCAGCTGATGAGGGCTGTCGTCGCCAGCGGCCCCGACCAYCTCGGGCTTGTCAGCGTCCGCCATCCCGCCGCCGCTGGCTCCGCCTCGGCCGCCTGCGCTGAGGGGCTCCGAGCGCGACAATGGCGGCGGCCGGGGAAGCGGTAACGGATCCCGATTTGAAAAGGCCCCGAGCGCTCAGTTGCCCGGATCTCGCGAGATCCGGTCGAGGCTGGGCGACTGGGAAATAGTGAGAGCTGGGTGCGGGGGGTGGGAGTGCGGTGGGGGAGGGGAGTATGAGAGAGGAGGTTGGAACCCGGGTCAGGGACGCCTTCRCTGCCTAGACCCTGCACAAGCAGGAAGGGATTGACCAGTCCCGAAGCCCCTAGGGAAGTAGGTTCTGACCACCATCCCCCTTGTCACCTGGCACTCAATGGGGTCTTCGCTTACAAAACCGACTTAGAAGCCTCTGAACCTTGACACCCAGATTATTCAATTCATTCGAGTAGGGGAAGTTTAAATTAGAAAAGCACACACCTTACCATATCTAAAGACATCTGCATATCTTCAGACCCCTTTGGAAGTCCTTTGAATGATGCAAATAAATCACTTATCATTTCAATACCCAGGCACCCTGTGGATATTCAATATGTAATTATTGGTGACTGATTGCAATTCACCAAATTGAATGGCTTTCAATTTCTTTGAGGATTGGTTGTCCTTGTGAGAAAAAAAAAAAAATCTTTGGAACTCAGTTTTCAGTTTAGAATAAGATTGAAGTAGTTTTTTGGTTTGGTATTTGCTTTTTTTTTTTTTTTTTTTTTTTAATTCTCTGGGCTGTGATCAATGGGAGAAATCCGTAATTTTCATAAGAAATCTTCTACTACATTGGCTGATAATGGACATTTGGGGTTTGGGTTATGTGTTTATTATATGCTGTTGGAAATTATATGTGAAGCACTTATAGGCTCTCAAATCTAATTATCATGTGAGATTTTAAAATATAGTCATAGATTTTTCCCCCTAAGTATGAGGAAAAACCCATTAAACTTAACTCCTAACTCTTGAGTACTATAATTATATTTCACACTAAAATAACCTTTTTCCACTGAAAAGTTCAAAGACATTCCCAAAAGTTTCCTTTCATAAAGGAACAAACATACAGTTTGTGTGTGCCTTGCAAAATATTACACACACATTATCGATGAAGTTGTAGCTAGAAACTAATACTCAACACTTAATTTCCTCAATAGATAGGTACCTTCCCTCTACCCCCAAAAAAAAAAAAAAAAAAAAAATACCATTAAGCATCAGATCCTATGCCTGAAGACTTGAACTACTTCATGAAACACACAGGCACACAATCACAACATTTTAATCTATTAGAATGCTTGGTAAAATGCTGCAGTTGGGGTATAGCCTACATTGTTTCACAAACACAACAAATGCTATTGTACTTGCTACAAAAATTGTTTCTCCTCAGTCATCTCTGAGACAAAGTATTTGGAGTAGTAGAAAGGGCACTGGAGTTTGGCAGAGTGAATGCAGGTTCGAGCCCCAGTTCTGCCACTTCTGCCTATAACTCCTTCTCAATCTCTCTTCAGGATAAATAAGGGCAACAATACCTGCCTTGCAGGATAATATGAGAATTAAAAGAAGCACTTTATGTAGAGCAAAGTGCTGTAATATTACAATTTTTTATATCTTAAGGAGCCAGCAGGGTTTTAGTCAAAAAGAAACCAGGTAATGATCCTATGATACTAAAATTTAAGTACTTTTAAAATATTCATCATTCTGTTATTCTTTTGCTGTGGTTGAAATTAACAATGAAACTTGGTCTCACAGTCCCCAGTCCAGTAGATTCTTGCAAAACTCCTCTAATCAATTTAATTCAATATTTTTAAAGAAGTCTTTATGCTTTAAACAGTAATAGATATATAAGGAACACAAAAGAACTAGAGCTCTGCTGGGAGAGGACTTTTTTAAAAAATATTTTTGGTTGTAGGTGAACACAATATCTTTATTTTATTTATTTATTTTTATGTATACTTGAGGATTGAACCTAGTGTATCAACCCTACAAGGCAAGCACTTCACCATGGAGCTACAACCCCAACCCTAGGAGAGGGCTTTTATAAAAAGCATTATTTGAGTGCTATAATCGACTATAAGAGCAAAGTATAATTAAAAACTTATTTAGAAAAACAAGAGACTGGACCACATATCATAGTGGGCCAATTAAAATATTTATCTTGATTATTGAGCTTTGGGGCACTCCCTTTAAATTTTGTGCCTAAGACAAATGCTTTACTTGCTGTATCTTAGTTCTGGTCTTGATAAATGCAGGAAGAACAGAGGTAGTTCCTACTGTGGAATCATCAAGGGCTTACTAGAAGAGCTGGCTCCTGAAAGGTAGAGAGAATTGGGGAAGCTTCTGATGAGAAGATAAATTGCTCTATACATTAATCTATATATTGATTTCCTTTCTCTCTTGCTATTAAACTAAATCTGCAAAAGTTAAAAAAAAATAGTTATTAATAATCTATTGCTGAATCCAATTTCTACATTTTCCTCCCCTCCCCAATGTTTTGTTGTTATTTTACTGTATGTATGCACACTGAAAACTTCTTAAATAATGCTTAACTTTTTTCACTTCCTGAAGTTCCCACTAAAAATTGTTTTCCTTTACAATTTCACAAAATGTATTCTGGTACAGTGTCACCTAACAATTTAGTTTTCTTTCTTACAAATTGGAATGTGTRTTTATGAGAGAGGGAGGGAAGGAAGAAAAGAGAGACACCATGGCATTGATCAAGAAATTTAACCCTAAAATTCCAAAATCTTTTCAGTTCAAACCTTAATATATGCATCATTTAGGATTTATGTGTTCACCTGCTAGTAATAGTGACTGGAAACAAAAGTTTCTTAAACAAGATACACTTTATTACTCTCTGTAGTAAAAAAGAAGTGCAGAGGGAGCACCCCAGGGAAGGTATAACAGCTCCATAGTCATCATGGACTCAGGTTCCTACTTTCTTCATCTTCCACCATTCTCTTGCAAACCTCCCATCATTAAGTTTGTGCCATGATCCAAGATGGCTACTGGAGATGCAGGCACCTTGTCTGTATTGTAGGTCAGAAATTGTCCAAAAAAAAAAAAAAAAAAAAGAATAAAGCATCTTATTTAGAAGTCAAACATAGCACTTCCAGTGATGGACTGGAATGTAGTCACATGACACATTCAGCTATAGGGGAGGTTGACAAACAGTTTTGTGGCAAGGCTCATAAAGCTTTAAAAAGACTTTACAATTTTTAAAAATACTATGGGGTATATTTGAACCCCATTTGGATTTCCTTTTTTTCTAAGAAGTTTATTTATTCTATGATGAAAATGTGGATATTAGCTATTGAAAAAATAATAACAATTGATAGAAAAATCTAATCTTATTCTGACAATCAAATCTCTCTTTTCTCTGTCTTTTCCTCATTCCACCACCACCACACTGCTTAATTTAGGAGGATTTTTTTTCAACATTCAGTATTCCAAAAATGCATCCTAAAGAAAGGTCTCTATCAGCCAAATGATTTTAGAATTAAGACAATCATCTGAATGATCTGGGCTCAAGYCACTTTCACTTCAATTATTCAAGTACTTCAGATGATCCCAAGGTTACTGCTTGAATTCTTTAGGTTATTATTTTGTTTTCAGATTTATAATTCTCGCATCATTACCCAATAATAGATTCACATTTGATTTTTGTAAGCAATAATAGTACATATTTTTTTTCTTTGAAGATGAAGGACTACATAATTCCTAGATATTTATTTGAGTCTCCATCTTTTAACTACTTTCTAATTTCCTAGCTTAAAAAACCCTGCCTTTTTCTCAGTCTCACCCTAATAACACAATTAACAGGCAGATTAGAAGAATAAATTTCTAAGAACCCTGCTCTATTTTTCTTCCTATGTAGCTACTGCCCTCCTCCTTAGTAATCCTTGAATTGAACATTTTCTGTTCAAAGTCATGGATATTACAGCAGCATTTTTAAACTATCTTCAGTTTCGTATCCTAACTCAAAGAGTATTAAGATTTTGCTTTATGTCAAATATTGTTTTTAACCTAAATAATTACACATGTTAGCAACATTATTCTCTATTTTCAATTATAATATTTGAGAAAAAATAGGTTTCTTAAAGTGATGAATTAATAGGGTTTAACCTACATACATTCTGCATATTTGAAAATAATCCTATATGATGATGACAGAGAAAATAACAGACACACTCCATCTTCCCCATTTTATTTGGTGATTGGAAACCAATTTATAAGTGGTGATGAATATTATTAAACTCCATGTTTCTTACCTTCACTTGCCCATGTGACAATGTTCTTGCCAACAAGATATAAGCAGAAATGTTGTGAGGACCATGTAGGAGATTCCTTAAAAGAAACTGACTTAGCTTTTAAGAACAACCCCTTCTCCTCCTTTGCCTCCTCCTGCTGTTAGCTTAGAGTAGAGAAATGATGTCTATAAGCAACAGCAACCAGGTTGGACCATGAAGTAAACTTGTAATGGAAAGCTGTGCTACTGATGGTAGAGGAAAATAGAATCCATGAAACCACAGTAACAACCCTGACATTTTTATCCCCAACTGGTTTTCACTCTGGATGCAGGGTTTTTCTATTATACACAGCTGAACTTAATGCTGATGACCATCATTTTTAATCGAAATGATTGACTTGCTTAATAGTCTCTTCTATACTACGTCAAACAAACACTACTTTTTAAAAGTCAGRTGATGCATGCTTGTAAATTCAGTAACTGGGGAGGTTAAGGCAAGAGGATCACAAATTCGAAGCCAGCCTAAGCAACTTATTGAGGCCCTGTCTCAAAATAAAAAGTGAAAAGGACTGGGATGTAGCTCAGTAGTAAAGTGCCCAATCCCTACTACCAAGAAAAATGTCCTGAAGACATGATTTACATTTGTTTTTGTTTGCTCCTTTGCGTTAAGCTGTAGAACACTACAATATATATATATATATATATATATATATATATATATTGTCTGATATCCATTTTTCTTACT